CTAATAAACTGCTCTCACATTTACAGATCTCTGTTTACAGATCTCTGTGGTTCAGAGTGGACAAAATTCCACAAATGCATAAAAAGGAAGTCACAAATGGATGGAGTACAAATAGATCCACAAATGCGTAAATAACAATTTGTATGTGAAATTAAAATACCTGTGTACAGAGTAAATTGTACATATTTACAAATTGCACTGTATTTTTGTGGATATGATTTTACACATCACAAATGTAAAAATACATATTTGTAGATAGTAAAATATTTGTGCATCATAGTACACATTTGTGGATTGTTTTCTGTGGGTTACATATATGAAAGTCCAATAAAAGCTTCCATATAAACATACCATAAACATACATTCATGTTGCACACAAATTACAGATGGCGTCTTTTTCATGCAAAAAGTATTTAAATGAAAAGGAATTTCTCTTTTTTCCACCAGAAATGTAATCCTGAAAGTGTGGGAAAGGCTTTGAAAGAACCATTAAACCATCATGAGAGATCAAACTTACAGGCCAGTGGCTTGTCACACTTTTCTTAAGTGCTGCAATTCTGCTGGGGGACTCCTGTCCTGAGTTCAGTAATTCTAAAATCATGGCTACACCTCTGAATAATTCAGAAACATTTCATCCTGTACTCATTAAGTACTGAGATTCCATAGCCAGCCCTATTGTTTTAAAGTGATGGTTGTAAGGTACCAGAGTTAACAAAACATATTGGTACAAACACTAAAATTGGAAAATAAAAAGAATAATCAAATTTACAAAGAATTTAACATTGGATTTAACATTAGATTTGTCTTTTTGTAACAATTTATGGAGAGGAACATAACTTTTTAAATGTGATAAAACACCTTGTCTCTGATTAGTGATAGCCAGCAGTGGTTTCATACTGTACTAAGCTGTCTAACACTGTCTAAGGGTGTTTAGATGTATGCGTACAGATGCATAAAGGTGGATGGATTCTCTATCAAAAATGACAGGCAGCTCATTAAATCCAAGCCCCCATTCAGTAGTGTTAACAAAAGCCACCAGTCTAACCAAGCTGGATAATTGAAACGCAAACAACTGATCAAAGTGAAGCTTCAGCTCGACAGTTTCATTGTTTGTGTACGGGCCTTGTGCGAGACCTGTTGACTTTTCCAATTGGAGCTGTAAACTTTTGTTTGTCCATGCATTTCCAAGACTGATTGTCAGTCTGATCTGAACAATTACCAGCTAAATGTGTTTGCCAGCTCAGGCAGAGCCCCCCTCCTTCTTTGCTGCCCTAAAAAGATCAAAAGGGAAGACCCCCCCCCCCCCCCCATAGCCCCCTTCGAAACACCCCCACCGCAACCCCCAAATGTCCCCTCCACTCCCCGTATCCCACCTCCCAACCTCTTCATTTCCTTTTAGCCATGACAGTTCAGCTGGAAAGCCAACCATAAATGATTTTTTTCGACGGCCCAGTGTTTGGGACATGGTCTTTTAGAGAAAACAGCTTTCAACCAGGGGACATGTCTCTCTAAAAAAAAGGGAAAAACGATCTGCATATTTCAATTATGTGCGGTTGCGCTCAGCTGATCAAAGAGCTGCAGGGATGCCCCTTGTAACTGAAGGCTTGAGGACCCTCATGATGTGAATGAGCACAAATTGATGCTACTGATGCTAAACGGTTAAGCGCCTCACAAAATGTCATAAGGTCAATCAACTTTTGGTAGTCATTTAACCGTGACACAACCTTGGCAGTTTTAGTGACTAAACAGGCCTCAGGGCGGTGCTGGGCTGGTTTCTACTTTCATTCTATTGCACAGTGTCTGTAAAAATAAGAGTAAGAGGTCAGGAGGGAAAGCTGATGCATGTGCTTGCCAAAACATTTTGATCAAATTGAACCTAAGGGCATTGTCCACTGAAACAATTCAATGGCTTATCATACACTGGAAACATGCTGGAATTTTAATAATTTAAAGGTCTTACTAGCTTTTTGTGGTGCTTTAAACCACATCTCATGGTCTTCTTTAGAGGGTGGGTTTTAGTCAGTTTAGTGTTTCTTTTGAGTCAGTTATTGTTACTGAGCAAGAGGACGACTGTGTGTGCAGTTTTCTTTTAGACCAATTTTAGAACTTAAAAATAATGAGTTGAACAAACGCCCAGCTGAACGCTCACTAAGCTCATTAAATTATTTGTATGTGGGTTCAAAAAGTAATGGAATCTTGCATGTCTATTTTCACCTTATAAGTCATTGTTAGCTCTGATCATTCTAAAATAAATACCAACATGTCCTACTGCATCCAGTCACATTTTGCAGGATGATTTTTTTGCTATTCTGTCCAGAGTCGCCTGCGCAGCATGAGTATGACCAAGAGGGTCAAAGTTCAAGGCGCAATGTTATAACAAAGTAGTATATCCCAATTGCATACTGCATGCAACAATACATACTTTGCAAGGGTAGCTGCAGTACATACTAAAAGAAAAATTATGCCATTTGGAATGCAGCACCGTCGTGGTTTTGATTTTAGAGTGTTGTTATTTGTTACATTTACGTTCCTCCTATTGTTTACTTCCGCTTTCCAAAACAGGAAACCGGCTAAGCCTGGCATAGCTTACTGTAAAATAAATTCATTGACGAAGTGAACAGTTTCATACTGCGTTCTACTCTGAAGGACATGCATACTGTGGTTGCCAGTAGTATGTTGTACGCAGTTCCGAATACAGCCATTATGTCTTTTATTCTGCTTTCTGTTTTTACTTTGGTATGTTTCTCTCATCTCATTTCTGGTCACCACTCTTGCTCTTGTTTTTCCCACTTGTGTGATTTTTTCACCTATTTATTGTTAATCACCTCCCTCTTGTGTATTTAAGATGGTGCCTTCCCTTTGTTTCGTATCCTTTCGATATATTGTCAAGTGTTGCTTTTTGTCTTCTGTGTTCTCTTCCCGTGTCTTTTGGGTTATGGAGTTTGGATTATTGCCGATACTTTAGTCTCGTATAACCAGATCTATTTCCTATCTCCTCTCCTATCCACATGTATTTTTAGCGCTGTGCTAGTGTTCTGTCACAATGCCTACCTCTGTTTAGTCATTTTTGCATATTTTGCCAGGTCTTAGTGTTCCAGCCTTGATTCCTGTTTTTTGCCTGTCTGTCCCTGATCACAACCTGCTCCCAGTTCTGTCTGCCTGCCCATATCTGTTACCTGTGTGTAAAACTGTTACAATTTATGAAGAAGGTGTGTCCATATCAGTCCCTAAACATTCATTCAGATTTAAAGTACTTGTCTGTGTATTAGCACTGGTACAAAATGACATGTAGTACTGCAACCATAGCAATGCAAATCGAACTGGATTATGACCTTACTCAAGATTATCTTGATCATTTGATTTTCAGACAAAGATTATACCTTTATTGTCATAGTTTTAAAATAATCACCATTCTCCATTAAGTATTTAATCATCGCAGGTTAAAGAGTTCAACAGAATCAAGTGACTGCAGAGGCGATATGAGTGGCTGTAGCTAGTCCAGTCCAAGAGCATAGAATTTAGTAGACCCTGTCCCTGTCATGCACGACACCCCGACCCCACCCCTGCTGGTAGATGTTTTTATTGTCCCCACCAACAGTGACATGAAAGGTGTGAGCATTTTGGTGTAGATGTTACAACTAAGTAGTTGAAAAGATGATATTAGAATAGATCCTGGGGTGAAGTTATGGAAATTGAAGAAGACAATTTGTTTGACATGATGTGCAGGGTCAATCTGTGTTTTCATGGGATCTCTTGAATTGTAGGTCAGTCTATGTTACACTCCAACAAGTTTTTTCCACTGGAATGGCAGCCCAGGGGGCACTGCATCACTTTTTCACCAGTGAGTTCAGTACAATGAGCATGAGGAACAGGACAATATGCCTGTATGGGCAGTCGAGGCAGTCGGCAAAGTCTAGTTTACTTTGTTTTTAATCGTTTTACTATTTTAATATTTTGCTGTGTGTTTTACTCATATCTTGTCTTGTTATTTTAGCATATTGTTTCACTTTGTCATTTCATTTATTTTTTGTTTTATTGGTACTTTGTAAATTTGCTTAGAAAAGTGCTATATGAAAAGTTATTATTATTATTATTATTATTATTGTTATTATTTTAGCTTGCTGGAGCAACTCTGAGAGAGAGAATGTTAGAAATGGTCTTTCACTGCTGAGGAAACCAAATCATCACAAAATAATAAATCCATTAAAAAGACAACCTCAGAGACCATTCTGTCATGTTTCAACATAATATTTGTCTTGGAATCATGACATCACCAATCAGAGATAGTTTTCAATGAAATCATCTTTTCCTTTCTTGTCATTAAAGGTACAAAGGGAAAAGCATTGTCACATTTCAGGCTACTAAATTAATGCAAAGTATAATCAACTTTATTGGCCACAAACAATTTCTACACAATGCAGTGCATGCAACCTTTGTTCTCTGCATTTAACCCATCCTAATTAGGAGCAGTGGGCAGCCATTGTGCAGCACCTGGGGAGCACTTAGGGGTTCAGGGCCTTGCTCAGAGGTACACTAAATCAGTGGTTCTCAAAGTGTGGAACAGGGACCCCCAGGGGTCCTTCAGGGGGATCCAGGGTGTCCGTAACAAAAAGGAGAATCATTTATTTGCACTATAATTCCATCCATAAGTAACACAATGTAAGAATGTATGACTGTTTTGGTCATGGGTTTCATACACTTTCTGTAACAAAACATCTAAAAGCAAAAATCCCATCAGATGGGTGGCTGTGGGACAAAATCTTATCAAATGGTGGTCAGTGGTCTAATTTGTGTCAATTTAGGGGTCCTTGACATGAAAAGCTTTGAGAACCACTGGGATAAATAGGAATCAAATAAATAAACTCATTTATTTCAAATAGAACACAGAATACAGATATGATTCAGGGGTATTTGGACAGCAATCATGTGATGTAATAGACAGAAGTTGGAGACACGCTCAGTTTTATCCCCAGCTTTAGACGTCATCACGTCCAGTTACGTCATCAGCTGTCAGTACAGTGCCCGAATGGCTTCCTGTTTCCTGTGTCCTACTGCTCTCTGAAAGATGGAATATAGTTTACTTTCTTTAACACCCGTTTTTACAAACTTCTACCGTGTGCGGAGCAACACACCGCAGAGACCTGGACCCGGAGTGTGCGGGCAGGGAGCAGCAGCGCTGTCAGGGGGCTCACCATGCTGTTCTCCCAGCTGCCAGAGGATGTTCTCTATCATATCTTGGCTTATTTGGACTACAGATCTCTCAGTCGCCTCTCTCAAGTTTGCAAAACGATTTACCACTTTGTAAAGCGGGACGCTGTGTGGAGGAAGATCGCTCAGGAGTTTTTAAACACTGGAATTACTCGGGATGGGACGGACATGTAAGATCGCACACTGATGACAAAGCTGCTGTGAATTGTTTAGCTTAGCGTTAGCTTAAACTGCAGTACTGGTCTTTACTGAACGTTGCTGACACCTTGTTTCACACACACTGTACGTTAGTGGCTAGTTTACATCCTGTGCTGTGCACAGCTACAGGGCAGTGGAAGAGACCTACAACTGCAGCGTGGGCCAGAACTCTGTAGGAATTGCCTCCCTGAATTTTGTCTACAGGCAGGCTGAATGTGTTGTGGTGGCAGCAGGGCAACCAGGGCACACAAGTCTCTGAAAGTGGTACCTCCTTTTACAAGAACCAGTAAATATTACACATTACTCATACTTACTTTGATTAAGAATTAGTTCATAGACCAGATTTCAACAAACTGAACAGAGTGATCATGGGTTTGCAGTTTACTGTGAACATGCACCTGTTACCTGAAAAGGACCCTAAAACGTTAGTGTCCTTTTGCACAAGCAAACTAAAGGCCACATCCATGACCCCATAGACTGCATATAAAAAGGCTGACCCCTGTTCCTCCCACTCTCTTTACAATATGTGCAGATTTCTATGCAGGAATACTAAATGACCACATATTAGATTTGTGTTAAAATAAAACATTTGTGTAGCAATATGTTAAATTTGAGTGCAAAACTAAGATTCAGAACTCAAACCTAGATTCTGACTCAGTGAGGCCCTGTCAGGAATAGGTAATAAGGAACAAATCACCTGAAGTTTCTTATCTTGTCCGTTGGTATTTTGCTTTAGGCAAACATTTTCCCAAAATATGACAAACCAGTTGACAATAGGGATGCACTGATTAGCCTATAGATTTTGATGGTACGATTATAGTCTGAAGAAAAATCCTACTTTCACGATTATAATGCATTCATTTATTTCACAACACCACAGATAGTATAAAAGCACAAGCACATTTTTAATTACAGATTTTACTTTATTATGTCCCCACACTATTTCTTTGTTGACTTTTGTTGTTGCTGCCTATCGAAACAGAAAAAATACAGTAACCAAATATAACAGTTTAAAATAAAAATAAATAAAATCTCTTGCAATTAAATATAAGCTACCCCTGTAGAGTTGTCAACCAATATGGGTTTTTCAATGGCCGAAGCCGAAATTTAGAGAGCAGGGCGGTTAATGACTGATATATAATGCTGACATCAAAACAAAGAAAAGTCATGTATAATTCCATTATTCCATGCAGAGTACAATTTACATGTTATCTCAGCCAGTAACATGTTGTTTTAGATGGAATTTTAATTAATGAATAAAATAGAAACATACATTGGGTTCTGCTGAAGATTTCAGAACGTGACTGGTGTATAAGGGAGAGTGGGGTACAGTTTGTCAGAAGTGACATCATCCAACTGCATCATTCTCTACAGTATACAGGTAACTGTATGATAGGCAGTAATGGATTTAGATTGGATTAGCTGGCATTTAGGATTGTACAATATCTCACAAAAGTGAGTACATCCCTCACATTTTCATAAATATCTTATTCTGTCTTTTCATGTGACAACACTGAAGAAATGACGCTTTGCTACAATGTAGAGTAGTGAGTGTGCAGCTTGTATAACAGTGTAAATTTGCTGTCCCCTCAAAATAACACATCACACAGCCATTAATGTCTAAACTGCTGGCAACAAAAGTGAGTACACCTCTAAGTGAAAATGTCCAAACTGGGCTCAGTTAGCCATTTTTCCCTCCCTGGTGTCATGTGACTCGTTAGTGTTACAAGGTCTCAGGTCTGAATGGGGAGCAGGTGTGTCAAATTTGGTGTCATCGCTCTCACACTCCCTCTTACTGGTCACTGGAAGTTAAACATGGCACCTCATGGCAACAGACTGAGGATCTGAAAAAAAGAATGGATGCTCTTCATAAAGATGGCCGAGGCTATAAGAAGATTGCCAAGACCCTGAAACTGAGCTGCAGCACGGTGGCCAAGACCATAAAGCAGTTAGGGGACTGAACCCTCAGAACTGGCCTCACCATGTTGACCGAAGAAGTTGAGTGCACGTGCTCAGCGTCATATCCAGAGGTTCTCTTTGGAAACTAGACGCATGAGTGCTGCCAGCATTGCTGCAGAGGTTGAAGGGGTGGGGGGTCAGCGTGTCAGTGCTCAGACCATACGCCGCACACTGCATCAAACTGTTCAGCATGGCTGTCGACCCAGAGGGAAACCTCTTCTAAAGATGATGCACAAGAAAGCCCGCAAACAGTTTGCTGAAGACCAGCAGACTAAGGACATGGATTACTGGAACCCTGTCCTGTGGTCTGACAGATGTGGTTCAGATGGTGTCAAGCGTGTGTGGCGGCAACCAGGTGAGGAGTACAAAGACAAGCGTGTCTTGCCTACAGTCCAGCATGGTGGTGGGAGTGTCCTGGTCACTGGGAACTACAGTTCATTGAGGGAAGCATGAATACCAACATGTACTGTGACACACTGAAGCAGAGCAGGACCCCCTCCCTTCAGAGACTGGGCCGCAGGGCAGTATTCCAACATGATAAACACACCTCCAAGACGACCACTCACTAAAGAAGCTGAGGGTAAAGGTGATGGACTGGCCGAGCATGTCTCCAGACCTGAACCCCATTGATCATCTGTGGGGCTTCCTCAAACGGAAGGTGGAGGAGCGCAAGGTCTCTAACATCCACCAGCTCCGTGAGGTCGTCATGGAGGAGTGGAAGAGGACTCCAGTGGCAACCTGTGAAGCTCTGGTGAACTACATGGCCAAGAGGGTTAAGGCAGTGCTGGAAAATAATGGTGGTCACACACAATTTGGACACTTTCACTTAGGGGTGTACTCTCTTTTGTTGCCAGCGGTTTAGACATTAATTTTATTGATATTGATAGCCTTATTGAGACTGCTTAACGATCTGATTCTTTATCGATACCACTATTATTTTGTTATTTGGTAAGACCAGACCTAACGGGCATGAGGTAGGCCTGCACGGTATGAGGAAAATATTCAATGTGCGATAACGTTATATATTGAGATGACGTATCACTTGCGATAAATAAACATATATTGAAGTGTGCATATTAACTGCCTGGTTGTTTTTAATTTAATATTTTAAATACAGCTAAATGTTGTTTCTAGACAACAGCAAAGTAACTCAATAACTTTATCTGACATCACAAGTAGTGAGTGGCGTTTAGAAAGAATACCATCAGTCTGGATCAGTCCCTCCTCCTCTCTTGCTGGCTGCAGGTAACGTTACCAGGTAGAAGGAGGAGCGGCTGGTTTGTCTCAGCCAGCAGCTGAGTTTTTAAGACTACAGTAACAAGCGTAGCTGTCATCAACTAACGTTACAGTAGTTTGGAGCTAACGTTAACTTAACCCTCACTGTATTCCACCGCGACGCCGCAGCCTCTCGTTCTGCTGCCAGTGTGTGTGTGTGTGTGTGTGTGTGTGTGTGTGTGTGTGTGTAGGAGCCGACAGAGAGCAGGCAGAGACTGCAACCTGATGATTTTCTTATCCATTGCGTTTCAAATTAAATCAGATTTGACTCTCGAGACTTAACGTTACATCATAGGACCCGCAAGTCTCGATAGCAGTATCGATGAGCTCGAACCTTACTGATTTGCATGTGCAGGTATCAGCCGATGCAAATGATCTGAAAATGACATATTGGCCTGAGTAATCGGCTGACCCATTAATCTATCACTAAACCCCTGTTCACATCCATGTCAGTATTTCCCTTTTGCACTTCGTCTGCACCAGGTCTCTTTTGATCAACTATAACAAAATTGTTGTCTTTGTGAATTTTTTCACAACCATAGACTGTATAAAAGAAGTGGATATAGCCACTGTGATGTTACCCACTGGTTTGTGGACTACCCTTTGAAGCCTTGAGTTTGGCGTTTTGGCTGTCGGTTTTGGCTGTCGGTTTTGGCTGTCGGTTTTTTTTTGGAACCAGAAGTGACCATATTTGGAGGAGAGGGTGGAACTGGGGAGGGATACGCATTGCTACTCCTGTCAGGTCATTGTGGTAGCAACTCGGTAATCCTAAATTTGGCACCATGAACTCTTTAGGAAAGTCTTTACTGAGGTAATAAATCAAGTGAGAAGTAGTTATTTTTATATAGACTTCTCTTAGGTAGGGGCATCTTCACTGGTCTCACCATTCGATTCGATTACAATTATCTTGTCAATGATTTGATTCAATTCGATATCTCAACGCATCACCTCCAGGGGTGGGAATCTCTAGGCACCTCATTACGATTATGAGGCTACGATGTGACTGTAAACGAACAGGATAAAGATGTATTTTTCTCACTGTGTGACTAGTTGCTACTTTTAAAGCAAAGTATTTGTAACAATCCAAAGTACTAGGTAGTAATGAAATGCAGCTATTTAATGTTACTTCATATAAATGTAGCTAACGTTACATAGCATTATTACATTATTACAGCGTTATTACTGACCTCCGATGCTGCTGTTATTGGTATAGATTCAGATACAGGTTGAACTACACACTTTACAATGCTCCAGCCAAACCACCTTCACTCCGCCTAAACATATCTGTTCCTTTTCTTGTCTCGTCTAGTGTAGTTACATGTTTGTGTCTTGTCCTGTAAGTTGATTATTGTAATCTTGTGTTGAGCACCATGGGCCTTGAGAAACTGTATTTAGTTCCTTCCTTTGAAGAATGACGAGAGGATGCTAGCTAAGTGCTACCGTGCTGCACAGTATGTGGGTGAAAAACATTAACGTTAGTCGCGTATTGATTTTATTGATCATGTGAAAGTTTAATAGCTGCCTGTCTGTGCTGAACATGAAGAACACGTCTCTATGATGTGCACACCACAGACAGTCCGGTGCTGCACCTCCCGCATTTCCAAGTTCTGCCTTTTTTGTTCCATCAACATTATGTTATCAAATAACCTCTAGATAATGATTATTGATATTTGTGAATCGATTCAGAATGTTGCAAGTCAATTATTTTCCATACCCCTACTATTAATGATGGGCATTTCAAGCAAAAATACAATTCAGAGGAGTGGCACCCGGTGTGGCCTTCTGCTGCTGTAGCCCATCTGCTTCAAGGTTCCACATGTTGTGCATTCACATTCTCTTTTTCAGACCCTTCTCTGTAAACCCTAGAGATGGTTGTGCATGAAAATCCCAGCAGATCTTCTGTTCAGTTTCTGAAATACTCAAACCAGCCCGTCTGGCACCAACAACCATACCACCTTCAAATTCACTTAAATCCCCTTTCTTCCCCATTCTGGTGCTCAGTTTGAACTTCAGCAGGTTGTCTTGACCACATCTACATGCCTTAATGCATTGAGTTGCTGCCATGTGACTGGCTGATTAGCTATTTGTGTTAACAAGCAATTGAACAGGTGTACCTAATAAAGTGGCTGGGGAGTGTATTTAAACATTTATCAGAATCAGATCATTTATATAATATATAATTTGTGATAGAAATATCCCTTTTCCCTTTGCCACTATTGCTTGGGTCAGTGAGTGCAGAGGGTGAGTTTTTTAGTATCAGTATAGTTCACTTGGTTTATTTGTCCAGGGTTTGAGATTTATGCCTCTACCCTAACACAATGGAGGAGAATCATTTAGTGTGCGCTATGGCAGCATTTAAAAGTGCCATTATTATTTTTTTTACAGCAGTGTCTTTTTCCAGAAACTGTTGGCTGTCTTCATGTATGTTTTCATGTTTTCTCTCTTAAACTTAGCTCTGATTCGTGTGTGACCACTGATTTGTTTGGGAATCATGATTGTTCTTAAATTGTATGGGAGTCATCAGACATCAAAGTCAGGTGAAAATGATATGATATCTGTGCTGGATAGCATATTTAAGAGAGTTCCAGACCACAGTTAAGAGCAAATCGGTGCGTTTGAATGTTTCTTGAGTAAGGCCCATTGTGCTGGATAATCCACAGACGTCAGGGTCAACAGTTATTATTGGGACCTTTCTTTAATAAAGACAGTTCCAAGAAAAGCTGTTCACAGGGAGGTCTGGGGATTATCCTGACTGATGGGACCAATGGTTTTGAAAGCAGATGTTACTGTTAAAGAGGTGGTATTATGCTTTTTTGCTCCTTTATTGAGTTATATCTCTTTTTTGTGCATGTAATAGGTTTGAAAAGTGAAAAAGCCCAAAGTGAGTTACCATCTCCCCATGGGTGTAAATATCATCTCACACCCTGCTCGGCCCAGGTCACTGGTCGGAGCCGAGTAAGTGAAAATAAATGGCCTATTTTAGTCCCCAGCTGATCAATCTGCGCATCTCTAGCTGTAGAAGATGAGTTCCAGTCCAATAAGCTGTTAAATAAGCTGCCAAATGGTAATGTTATAATAACAGAGTGGGCCCATGGAAAAATAATCTGTTATCATAACTTTTTGTCATGATTAATTTATTAATGACCCAGCATCATCTGTATTAAAGACAAAAGAATCAGTTCATTCAATGTTTAAAGTGCATAAAACAGCCCTGCCAGCACTGCTTAACATTACTGAGCTCCATGGATTGGAACTGGTTTTCTACCACCGGACTCCTGTGAGAGGGAAAGCAGGCAGTGGACAAAACCACTGTGAGGCAAGAGAGGGGGGACTCAAAATGTTTCTAAACTTAAAACGCACTTTTATTGCCCTGTTTGCGTTTGTATTGTTTTTCTATTTACACGATTATTTTAAGTCCATCCATCCATCCATCCATCCATCATCAACTGCTTATCCTGCGTACAGGATCACGGGGGGGCTGGAGCCAATCCCAGCTGACATCGGGCGAAAGGCGGGGTACACCCTGGACAGGTCGCCAGTCCATCGCAGGGCCACACATAGATAAACAGCCACTCACACTCACATCCACACCTCATTATTTTAAGTATATATCAATATGTTATTTGATGCCAACAATGAACAATGCATCTAGATGCATCGATAATCGTTTTATAATCGCAGCTCTCTGAATCGTAATCGAATCGTGAGGTGCCCAGAGATTCCCACTCCTATTAATAACTCACCACTCTGAAACTCCAGTCCATGTTGCTAAGCTGGTAAGGGGAACATACACACCTGAGGCCGTGTTTAACGACTTCTCACTGACCAGTCCTACTCTGCTTCTGATTGGCTAGTAGTCCTTAAAAAAGATTTGCGCATGTGCAACTCCCAACAAAGATCATGTAGAGACTAGATGTATCACTCCATAGCTAAAACAAAGCCTTCAACACGGTGAAAAGAGGAGCTGCAGAAATGTGCAGTATCACAAAAAAATATGGTGTTTTTTGAAAATTAAACCATGTAAACCTGTTCTGGTACAACCCCTAAATATGACTATGAACCTGAAAATTAGCACAATACCACCTCTTTAAATATTTTACATTTTTACAATACTGTGAGCACCGCAGATGAGATTCTATCCAGCTCCACTGCATTACAGTAGAGGAAGAAATCTCACAAGCAGATATATATAAACTTCGACGAATAAAACTAAAGTGTTGCATGTAGAGATTCATTAGAATATGTTGGCAACAAAATATGAATTTTGTTAAAAAACTTTATTTATGTGACTGGATTGTAATCATACAAAACTCTCAAATTTTACAAGGTTGATTGCATAAATTCCACAAAGTAAGGCCTACACACAACTATACACGTGTTGGTTTTCTATCATTTCATAAACATGGATTGATCTCAGGCTTTGGTGATATATCTGTCAAATAATGATACTATAAGTTATGTTCCTCCAGCACTGTCAAAAAAATCAGTTTTTCTTTAAATTTAATGCTTGAATTAGTTCCTAATATGAAAGCAGGCTTCTAGTCAAGGTCGAGATATATTTATTTGTCATTCTACAACACGCGGCTGCACATATACACAAATATTTAAAATGTATAGCATGAAACTAAAAACAATACAGTCCCCTCCAAAAGTATTGGTATGGTAAGTATGGTATTTACTTTAAGATTATTTGTTCCTTTACTTTTGCTCACCTAAGAATGTTGTGGTCTGATACAAACAGTGATATGTCCTGAGTTGTTTAACACATCTAGATGTGAATACCAGGAAATGAAAGCTGAAATTCTGAACTCTTGTCTCATACTCATCTTTTGATCTTAAACCCTAATGTCTTCAGTGGACAACAAAAACAAAGGAATTTGCCTTACCGTTCCAATACTTTTGTAGGGGACTGTATATACACTTACTTATATACATATATTTTACAAGGTAGTGGTAAGGTAATGTGCAAAAGCAGCGTAACAGAAAGATCCATGTCATTTGTTCATGGTGGAGTGCGGAGGATGAGATGGAGTTGAGGAGTCTCTCAGCCTGAGGAAAGAAGCTGCTCTGTAGTCTGTGCATTATGTCCATTGTCATTGAACAGATGGGATGGGGGATGATTTAAAAGCATCAAGTAATTTGATCATAACTAGCACCATAACGTTCAGCTATTAAAATCCACAGCAGTCAATGCATAGTAATGTTAAATTGTCACTGTTATTGCAGATATCCTCACATCCCGCTGAAGGAGAGAGTGAAGATAGCTCAAAACTGGTATGATGGGGTCTGCAAAGGGGCTGTTCCTCTCAAATGGAAAACAAAGTAAGTATTTAAAGGCTGAAATGCATTGACCATGTTTTACTCCATATCACCTCGGCAATATGCAGTATAACACCTGAGAAATGGAATAAGTATAAAATGAGAATTCAAAGCTCCTATACTGTACATGAACACTTAACACAAGGATTTGACATTGATATCCTCCGTTTTCTAAGTCTCGGAAAGAAAGCGAATAAGCGGATATCCCCATTTCCATTACCAAACATGTATTCTTCATAAACCTGAGAGACACCTCTGCATCTTTTACTGGTCTATCATGGTGACTTTTAATTCATGTTAGCTTTACCCTTATCGTTTTTAAATCACGTATCTTGTCTTCAGACTGTTGCCATGGTTGCAGCTGGATTGGGACACACTGTTTCTGTCTCAGGCTGCTGATATTGGAGCGTACCATCTGTGGCAAGACTCCGGGAGGCTCCAGCGTAAGCCATTTGAAATCTACTCGGGACACAAGGGTGATGTCTGTCGCTTTGTGTTGACGGACTCTCACCTGATCAGTGGTGGAAGGTAGCACATTCTTTATTTGTTCTTTTTGTGACTTCAGTTGACATTTACAATAACCATTAGTCATTACTAAAGTAACAATTTGTATCCTTATGACATTGATCATTTATCTGTAGCAATTTAACCTATAGAGATTTTAAAAAGCTTTCACATTTGCTGTTTTTAACACGTATACATGGGTACCTGATTACTGGAAAACATCTCATGGCACATCAGTAAGTAAAGAGCAGAAATGGTGATTTTTGTTGGAGTTGAAAAATATGTGGTTAGTTAGTATAAGCAACATAAAGGCAGGGCTATACTACTATAACTACTTTGTTCAATGTGTCGTCCAATGTGTCGTCCAAGCATAATGCTTTTAACTGTTCAAAGTGGCAACGATCAGGGGAAAATTCTGTTGTCATAGAGAGGGGTGAAATGCAATGAATCGTTTTAACGGGGATAATGGCGCATACTTGCAGGCATTTTATCCTCTAAGTCATCCACGGTATTGTACTCAGTTGTTCACACAAAAAGAAGACAGAAGTAGTTGTGTGGACAATGAAAGAAAAGAGAGCCTGCCTACTTTTACACCTGCACACAGCTGACCAGTCACTGTAAAGTGGATGTGAATGTCGGCTTGTCTGTGTCGGACATTTACAAAAATTGTTGATGTAGCCCCCACAGCTGTGACGGCAGAAAATTCTTGGGAGAGGGGTTTCAGAAGCTGTTCTGCAGTCTGACAAAACTATCTTAAAATGATAATGTAAACTTGAAAATGAAAATTTCATTCCACAATAATATAATTGTCTACATATATATACTGTATATATGTATGTGTATATGTACATATATATAAACGCAACACTTTTGTTTTTGCTCCCATTCATGAGCTGAACTCAAAGATCTAAGACTTTCTCTATGTACACAAAAGGCCTATTTCTCTCAAATATTGTTCATAAATCTGTGTTAGTGAGCACTTCTCCTTTGCCGAGATAATCCATCCACCTCACAGGTGTGGCAGATCAAGATGTTGATCAGACAGCATGGGTACTGCACAGGGGTACCTTAGCCAGAAATGAAAATGTAAAAGCTGCTTGACATTTCATTTTTAAATGCATACTCCGCTGTACAGTGCACAGTGTTCAAATATTAAATCAAATGTAAAAATTAAAATGCTATTTAAACGATCACCTGATTTTCCATTCATGCAAGCAACATTTCAGTCCAGATGAAAACAGCATTTGACATTTTATTTTAAAAAGACTTACTGTGTGTTCACACAGAAAGCGAAGCAAATTTGTTACGCGGTGCGATAACATACAAAGTCAGTGCAAAGATGAAAATACATGTAGCGCCAGGCAATGCAAATTGTACAACACAAATACGCAAAGTGTCAGCTTTTCCATTTTATTTTAATATTTTAATATTCCATTTTATTTTAATATTGTCATACAAGTTTGTGAAAATGAAAAGGCTATTTGGATTATTGCTTTTTCATTTTTGTTTTTACTGAAATACCACTTACATATGTGGAAAATTATAATGCTATTGTGGAATTTTATTTCTAACTTTACATTATCATTTTAATATAGTCCTCTATATGCTTCCATAGTTACTTTTGATGGCCTTCTTAAGTTCTTATAGAACTGGAGTTACATCCAGGTAACTTCTCCTCGACATGTTACTGATTTGGAGACCAGTGCTGTGCAATCGTTTCTGCTTTTTCATTCCCTCTGACAGAGAGCGGTAATCGTGGTGAGCAGAAGGTTTGCATTGGAGATGTCTTTGCTAGATGTGTGTTACTGACAAGGGGAAGATAAGGGAGTCCTTCAACAACCACAGGCATCATTATATTTTAGGAGTTGCCAATCACAGTTCTGGGGGTACTCGTAGTATCTCTGTAGCCACCGTTGCCCCATCATGTAGTAACATTTTTGAGGAGGCAAACATCAGCTATGGCGTAGACTACAGCATAGCTCCGGTAGCTATGTCATCGGCTCTGTAGCTACAACGCAACTCCTTAACCTACAACTGTAAATCAACCTTTTGTTTTGAAAAGAGGACTACATTTAAAACACAGCACCCTCATTCATCGCAGCGATTGCACAGAAAAACAGATTTCCAGCACAAAAGTTGAACCTGGCTCAACTTATGCCACAATGCTATGCAGCGTTTCCAGTAACACACGACATTGGCCAGTCAAATATTCTCAGGGCAATTCTACTGTTTACCTTGTTTACCGCAACATAGGATAAAATGTTTGTTGCTGTAATAACTGCAATACAAAAATTTAAAAAGATAGAGGCTTCAAGCCATATTGGACTATATCATTTGCAAATATTTGTTTGCTTTTTCTCTTTCTTTGTCAGTGATGGCAAGATCCTGGTCCACAGCAGGAGGAGTGACATGTCAATCGAGTTATCAGGTCATAACCAGGAAGTCAACTGCCTGGACTCTAAAGATGGACTCATCGTCAGTGGATCCAGAGACCAAACAGCCAGGGTCAGAACACTTTTACAGTCCTCATTTATTAATGTGATGCACAGTGCCATGGTGTTAAATGTCACATTTGTTTCACAAAGAATAAGACTGAAGAACGTAAACATCATTGTTACATTTCACTTTGATGTTTCAGCTGTATATGTCATGTACATAATATTTCTGTAACTTCTGGCACTATGCAACTTTTTAACATCTAACTCATAATTACATCCATTTTACACACCTTACTGCAATCTCCACACTATGTACACGCTTAAAAGCGAGTTATTCTTACTTTTATGTTAGTGCATGTGTTTGACATTTGTTTTTGCACTGTTGTTTGTGCCGAGTGGTTTGTTTGAGTCCTACTCCCGTGAAATGTGAATCTTTCTGGGGAAGTATCCATCCATCAATTTTATTGTGGCCAGTGTTTCCCCTATATGCATTCAATCCTGACCGCCACTACAAAAATTTTACACGCTAATTAAATTATGTGCTACAAATGTTTTCACTCGCACACTGTGGGAGCACGGCAACAATCAATGCTTGGCTAGCTTCCTCTCCTCTTCTATACAAAACATCTACATGAGGAAATTTTCTGGCAGTAAATGTAGTGACAGTGACAGTCTGACAGTGTTGGTTTCAGTGTGTCGGCTTCTCAAGTCCAAGAAAAGTCTGTTGTTTCCCACCTGCTGAAAAAGTGAAGCTTGTTAGCGCTAAGTTAGCTAACATCTCCCCTCCCCTTCAGACTGAGCTGAGCAGGAAAGCTTCTACAGCAGGTTGCGACTTTTGGCTGCTACAGTGCCTTGCGAAAGTATTTGGCCCCCTTGAACTTTTCGACCTTTTGCCACATTTCAGGCTTCAAACATAAAGATATAAAACTGTAATTTTTTGTGAAGAATAAACAACAAGTGGGACACAATTATGAAGTGGAACAAAATTTATTGGATATTTCAAACTTTTTTAACAAATAAAAAACTGAAAAATTGGGCGTGCAAAATTATTCAGCCCCTTTACTTTCAGTGCAGCAAACTCTCTCCAGAAGTTCAGTGAGGATCTCGGAATGATCCAATGTTGACCTAAATGACTAATGATGATAAATAGAATCCACCTGTGTGAAATCAAGTCTCCGTATAAATGCACCTGCTCTGTGATAGTCTCAGAGGTCCGTTTAAAGCGCAGAGAGCATCATGAAGAACAAGGAACACACCAGGCAGGTCCGAGATACTGTTGTGGAGAAGTTTAAAGCCGGATTTGGATACAAAAAGATTTCCCAAGCTTTAAACATCCCAAGGAGCACTGTGCAAGCGATAATATTGAAATGGAAGGAGTATCAGACCACTGCAAATCTACGAAGACCCGGCCGTCCCTCTAAACTTTCAGCTCATACAAGATCAGAGATGCAGCCAAGAGGCCCATGATCACTCTGGATGAACTGCAGAGATCTACAGCTGAGGTGGGAGACTCAACAATCAGTCGTATACTGCACAAATCTGGCCTTTATGGAAGAGTGGCAAGAAGAAAGCCATTTCTTAAAGATATCCATAAAAAGTCTCGTTTGAAGTTTGCCACAAGCCACCTGGGAGACACACCAAACATGTGGAAGAAGGTGCTCTGGTCAGATGAAACCAAAATCGAACTTTTTGGCAACAATGCAAACGTTATGTTTGGTGTAAAGCAACACAGCTCATCACCCTGAACACACCATCCCCACTGTCAAACATGGTGGTGGCAGCATCATGGTTTGGGCCTGCTTTTCTTCAGCAGGGACAGGGAAGATGGTTAAAATTGATGGGAAGATGGATGGAGCCAAATACAGGACCATTCTGGAAGAAAACCTGATGGAGTCTGCAAAAGACCTGAGACTGGGACGGAGATTTGTCTTCCAACAAGACAATGATCCAAAACATAAAGCAAAATCTACACTGGAATGGTTCACAAATAAACATATCCAGGTGTTAGAATGGCCAAGTCAAAGTCCAGACCTGAATCCAATCGAGAATCTGTGGAAAGAACTGAAAACTGCTGTTCACAAACGCTCTCCATCCAACCTCACTGAGCTCGAGCTGTTTTGCAAGGAGGAATCGGCAAAAATTTCAGTCTCTTGATGTGCAAAACTGATAGAGACGTACCCCAAGCGACTTACAGCTGTAATCGCAGCAAAAGGTGGCGCTACAAAGTATTAACTTAAGGGGGCTGAACAATTTTGCACGCCTAAGTTTTCAGTTTTGTTAAAAAAGTTTGAAATATCCAATAAATTTCGTTCCACTTCATAATTGTGTCCCACTTGTTGTTGGTTCTTCACAAAAAATTACAGTTTTATATCTTTATGTTTGAAGCCTGAAATGTGGCAAAAGGTCGAAAAGTTCAAGGGGGCCGAATACTTTCGCAAGGCACTGTATGTAACTTTACATTAGCTCAACAGAAAGTAACTGGTAGCTGTATTTTATTACTGCCTACTTGTCCAATGTTGACAACATCAGTTACAATCTGAGAGTAAACTGGTGTAGCCTGCAGCTCCGTCCTGTACCGACTGGGTCAGATGAAAGGGGTGGTGGCTGGAGGAGCTGAGGTTAGTAAAGCAAATAAGTGATGCTAACTAGTCCTTTTAAGCTAATGAGGAGACTTTTCTTGTGCAAATAAAATGCACCTCAGAAGGGAGGAGGTTTCTCATGTTGCACACAAAAGGCAAACATGAACAACCGTATCTGTAACGATTCTGAGGTCATATTAACAGGGTTTTAGGGGTGATGTCCAAAACATGCTGTGCAATAAATGTTAAATCACTGTAGAGAGCATTATAACCAACCAAATAACTTTCCCCAAATCTAAAGGTTGTAGTTCTTCCCCAGTAGACTGATCTTGGGCTGTTGGTTATATATTATCTGCTCCAGCTTTTCCAACTATTTGTTCAGACATATGTACATATATTCATCTAAAGCTCACATTAAACTGGGAAGACACTGAAGTTTTAAACTATTCTGATGTGCATCACATGCTCATGGACACAAGAGCAATACTGCTGAGACATGTTGTGTTGGGGTTTTATATTCAGACAAAAAATTTTGCTTCAGGAGAAACACTGGTGTCTGTTAATGCTAGCATTATAAAACATACTTACTTTACTTTTGTTTCTCCAGATTTGGACTTTGACTTCCACCTGCCCCAGAGACACAATATCCCTGTATGACAGAGTGTGGTCTGTTGCTATTAGCCCCACACTGAGGTAAGCTATTGCTCAGAATCACTCACAGTTTGCTTAACAGGAGCTACAAAGAGGTTGACAAATGTGGCTGTGATTGCTCACTCAGTTAAACGGGGTAAGCGCTGAGGAGGAGCAGACAGAGAGACAGAATGCTCTTCTTTAAAAGATCTCCTCAGTCATTGACGACTGCTCTTTTTCTATGAAGGCTGATGTTGTACTACATAGTAATATCCTCTACCATTAGTGGGTGTGTCAGTATGATTGTTTGACTGCTAAGAAATTTAACAGATAGCAAAAAACGGCAAGGTCCCTGCCAGCGCTCGACTGTGGGAATCCCTCACCTAACACAGCTCAGGCTTGTCTCCTCATTGATTCTTGCATCCGAGAGCACAACAACCATCCAGCATTTTGGCAACGCAAAAGTAACAAACTCTATCTTTTCATCTATAAACTCCATAAAATATGACACCAAAATCAGTGAATAAAGTTATAAAAGTTGTGTTTTTGTACAGTCATCAGTGAGGCCCCAAGCAGCTCTGCCAGGCCAGCACATTTGGTACCTATACCGTCTCCCAGAAACACACCGTTCATCTACCGTTGTTCCAACCAGATGTTTGTCTCATTTTGTCTCAAACTGTAAATTCGTCAAATTCAGTTCCCCATATTGCCATTTTCCAAGTTTTAGTTGTGGTTGACAGGACCCTTGTATCTTCTTCTACATGCTTTAATGCTTGATATTTTTAATTTTTCAGTTACAAATGGGACATTTCATTGATACCAACAATAGCTCTTATTTTTATACTTTATACTTAGATACTTAATATATGGTGTTCTATAGGTTAGCTTACAAGGGAAAATATCTACCGTTAAGACGAACGTTTGCTTTCATATCTAAATTTGACAATGAGCGAGGATTAGATTGATCACTTTACAACCGCCTAAGCTTTATTTTTGGGCCTTTCAGTTAAGGGTTTTTTGGATATGGTTTCATCAGGATTCTAAAATAGAATGGAGACAAATAATGGATTTCATAGTTTCCCTTGATAATCTATAGAACAAAATACTTAAAATTCAGCAGCCGTTTATTTTATCTATTTATTTTTTCCTTGTGTTTTTGTTTGTTTGGTCATAGTATTTCTCAGTATACTTCTTGCACCTTGTGCCTAAAAGACAATAAATATTTGATCACTATCCTTGAAGGTACTGACAGAAATGAGCTGAGAGCAGAACCACATTCTTTATAGTGGTGATTTAGAAGTGCCTTTGATTTCTCAGCCATGTTCACACCCAGACACTTAATAACACACAGTTACACACCCAGCATTGATGACATGCAGGCAGGCAGATGCAGAGCGCTGTAACAGTATCCTGACTTCAGCACCTGCTAGTCCAGCAGAGAGGCAGGTGATCATCCTTTGGTCTGCAGAGTGGAAACATCACAGGTCTGGGGTTTCCCATCTCGCTAAATATTGCCTGCTTTGTAAACAGCTTCAGGATTAATTAAAACTAAGTGCAGAAGTTAATTTAACCCCTGTGGTTTCTATCTGGACACGGACATTGTAATATCTTTTTAGCAGCAGGGCATCTGTTGACTAAATGAAGTAAATGACACCTTTAGATCATCTCCCAAACTGAAGAAGCAGGTTGCTCTTTTACTCTTGTCATTATCTACATTATACTGCTGCAGTACTTTGAAACCCATATCTAAAACTGAAAACAGTTTCAAAGACAACTGTATTCTCATGGAGTTAAAATTGAAATCGACACGCTACTTCCTGCACTGGCAGGGAATGTAAATTGTGCACTTCATTCATGATTTCTACAGATTGAGCTGTTTTGGAACAGGTCTACATTAGTGTTCAAGCTCATTATGTAAAATATTTACCAGCTTTCATTCTGGATATATATTTTTATATATATAATTACCTCTAACCCCGTATCTGATCTGAATCCTTAATTATAGTCCAGTCATAGCTTGGTCCTTATGCCCTGTAAATAAGTGAGGAGCAGATATGTCCTCATTTTCAATCTAAAACTGTAGCTCTTGCACACAAGGAAATAAGCAATCCAGTATATCAGCATACATGCATGGTGGCCTTGTCTGTCTGATCCAGGCCTCGGAGAGTCTCTCAGATCTGAGAGGAACAGGCAGGTTATCCACATCATTAATTCTCCAATTTGCTGGCTGAAATAGCAGACGGTACCTCAGCCCACCGCCCCCTTATAATGGAAACCTGCTCCCTACCTCTCACTGACCAATGGCCTGGTTAATTAAAACTCTTCTGGAAAGCAGGTGTCAACTCCCTGATAAACCCACTTCAGCCCCACACACCAAGTAACTCACCCCTCCAGCTAAAAGGAAAATAGTCTTTTTTCACCTCAGTTGATTAAGCATAAGGAAGATATGTAAGACCAAACCATACTAAACAGTTGAGAAAGTGCAAAGCCCTGCCCAGCGGGCTGCACAGGTAATTAGGTCTGAACTGAAAAAGTAAGGGACTTTTACCAATGTATCTGATTACCACTATTCTCTGCTATTATGCTACAGATGGATGGAGTGTCACATATGAACGCTTGGTCAAGACCCCTTGGCATCGCTTTTTAACGCCCTGGGAACACTTTAGCATCGTTTTTGCACGTGTAGGGCTCCGTGGTCAAGTTAGCAAGAATAAAAATGTAACGTCCAGTTAAGTTAGAATGAATAAATATGCAACTTTCAAAATAGTGGGTAACATTGTAAAACATCGCATTTTGGTTAGGTTTAGGCAACAAGACTACTTGTTAGGTTTAGGAAAAGACCATAGTTTGGGTTAAAATAACTATGTTACTTACGTGACTTAACTTACATAACTGAAGTCACAAAATTTACATAACTATAAACAGTCAGTGTTGATTTTTTTATTCACGTGGGAAAAACTAACTGGCTCATGAGTGAAAGCCGAGTTTTTGACCCATCTGTTCACCTGAACCACCTCCTTACTCAGGCTTTTATGTTATTTATGTCTACTTTTAGACATAGTGTTGAACAATGCTACAATGAGCGCTAAAGGGAGCCATGGGCGTTGGTACTAGACACCGAAGGATGTGACAAAGCGTAGGTATTTGAAACTCTAGGAATGAGAACGGACTGACACAACGCACGTGAACAACCCCTACAGTAGCATTGTACACAGCCAAAATCACACTATGCACACCTTAGGCAGCATTATGCCAACCCTATTACCAGTCAGAATGTTAATACTGGACAATTCTGAAAAACACAACTATGCATTGGCAATGGACGTAAATCATGTGCTGAATAACTGTCCAGCTGCATTATGTACATTGTCTGAGCTACTTGATGACATAATGATAATAGAGTACATATTAACAACAACTCTAAATCGCTTATGACTCGTCAGCTTTCATGTTGTCATGTTTTAGTCTGAAAGTGCTAAAAGAAATACTGAAACATTACATCTCAAACAACAGAGAATGAATTATGTGAAAAACACTGTCCTTGCAGGTTTGTCATTAAACTCAGAAATAAGATCTGTGTAATGTAGCTTGGATGCAACAGACTTTTCTGTGGGAATACCAAATCCACATGTTCTGTCCTGATGCAGACATAGTTTGGAAGTAGTCTCAGCCTTTGTGTGTGTAAGTTTTATTTGTTTCATTCTGGTTTCAGTGTCTAGTGGCTTAAATGCTGTTTACAGTCTCTTTATAATAACTGCTGAATTATTGTTATTTTATCACGTAATGTTATTCTAAAATCACGTTTTTAAATAACCATCGGCAGAATATAGATATAGTATTGTTTCTTACATTGCCTTCAAACATAGTTGAACCCTGGTCTCCAGCAGTCTACATGGTTTTCAGTCAGAAGGCTGATTCTCTTCCCAGATGTAAGAATCAAGACAGGCGTCGTAATTCACTCTCTTTAACAGTTTGTGGCCTTGTGTCTGTGCCATGTGCCACTTCTGCAGATTTTGTGAGATGCTTAAAGGTTATTTCAGAGTGAATGAGGTGAATGGTTGCTGCCTCCACAGGCATGTCTTTCATCACAGAACGGGAGAGAAGAGAGGGAGAGCAGCTTGTGTTAGAAATGTAACTTTCCCCGACTTCACTCAAACATGTCCTTCGATCAGTTACAGACTGAAGAGTTTAAAAAGTAGAACATTTTAACCAGGGAATTTATAGCACTATATATGCACTGACGTTCTACACAACCAACCCTAATTAAATACAACATTGATTCAAACAAATTGAGCTAGAGTCCAAGTCAAGTGTCAAGTCTCTCGTGGTTATAATGAATGTTGTATCACCTGCTGTGTTCAAACCAGGTTGCTAATAAAACTGCATAGCTATAAGGAATTCTGTAACGGTAACCTGTTTTCATTTACAGAGGCTACAACCATGTAGCCTAATGTACAATGTCTTTACAACTAATGACAGCTTATAAACTACTGTAAGTCAACACATCCCCCAGACTCTCAAACCCAGTGTAACGTTATAACTAAATAAAACTGTAGCTTTACATGATGAATAATAAACCTGTAACCTGTTTGCAGCCGACGTTATTAATTAACGTGATGGCAGCCCGCGGGACTTAAATAAGTTTGGCAAGTAAGCAAACGCTCATTCATCTTTTCATAACACAGTCAGAATTAACCTCCCGCAGGTTGTAGCTAAAGCAAGAAGCACGCTAACGTTAGGATTCTGATGTTGAGCTCAACATGTTTACTAACCTCAGGTTACTAACCTATTTTGCGTTCAGCGCTTCTTTGTTTATAGATAACGGAGGGAGGGGAATAACAGCAAGCTCATCAGACCTTTCCTAAAAATAAACATTGTTCATGAGTCCCGCACCTCGAGTCAGAGTCAAGTCTGAAGTCACTGTGTGCGACTTAAGTCAGACTCGAGTTCGAGTCTCAAACTCGAGTCCCCATCTCTGTGTGTGGGCTGTGCTGTAGCAGATGGTTGCATTTGATAATTACTAAAATGAATCGGTGCACATGGCACTGCCATTGTCTCTGACT